CAGCTTTGTTCTTCTTTCTCAGGATTGCTTCAGCAGTTTGGGGTCTTTTGTTGCCCCATATGAATTTTAGGATTCTTTGTTCTATTTCTGTAAAGAATGTCACTGGGATTCTGATTAGGATAGCATTGAATCTGTAGATTGTTTTAGGTAGAATGGACATTTTAACTATGTTTATTCTTCCCATCCATGTACATGGAATGTCTTTCCATCTCTTTATGTTGTCATCCATTTCTTTCAGAAAAGCCTTGTAGTTTTCATTGTATAGGTCTTTCACTTCCTTAGTTAAATTCACCCTGAGGTATTTTATTCTTTTTGTTGTGATTGTGAATGGTATTGTGTTCTTGAGTTCTTTTTCTGTTAGTTTGTTATTAGAGTATAGAAATGCTACTAATTTATGCAAATTGATTTTATACCCTGCAACTTTGCTGTAGTTGTTGATTACTTCTAAAAGTTTTCCAATGGATTCTTTGGGGTTTTCTATATATAAGATCATGTCGTCTGCAAACAGTGAGAGTTTCACTTCCTCCCTCCCTGTTTGGATTCCTTTTATTCCTTTTTCTTGCCTAATTGCTCTGGCCAGGATCTGCAGTACTATGTTAAATAAGAGTGGTGATAGAGGGCATCCTTGTCTTGTTCCTGTTCTCAGGGGGATGGCGTTCAGTTTTTGCCCATTGAGTATGATGTTGTCTGTGGGTTTGTCATATATGGCCTTTATTATGTTGAGGTAGTTCCCTTCTATCCCCATTTTGTTCAGAATTTTTATCATAAGTGGCTGTTGGATCTTGTCAAATGCTTTCTCTGCATCTATTAAGATGATCACGTGCTTTTTATTCCTCAATTTATTGATGTGGTGTATCATGTTGATGGATTTGCAGCTGTTGAACCATCCCTGTGTCCCTGGTATGAATCCCACTTGATCATGATGTCTGATCCTTTTGATGAATTGCTGAATTCAGGTTGCCAAAATTTTGTTGATAATTTTTGCATCTATGTTCATCAGTAGTGTTGGCCTGTAATTTTCCTTTTTTGTGCTGTCTTTGTCAGGCTTTGGTATCAGCATGATTTTGGCCTCTTAGAATGTATTAGGAAATGTTCCATCCTCCCTAATTTTTTGGAATAGCTTGAAAACGATAGGTATTAAATCCTCTCTGAAAGTTTGGTAGAATTCCCCAGGAAAGCCATCTGGTCCTGGGGTTTTATTCTTTGGGATACTTTTGATTGCTGTTTCAATCTCTTTCCTTGTGATAGGTCTGTTCAAATTGTCTGCTTCTTCTTGACTAAGCTTTGGGAGATTGTAGGAGTCCAAGAATTTATCCATTTCCTCTAGGTCATCCATTTTGTTGGCATATAGTTTTTTGTAGTATTCTCTTATAATCTGTTGTATTTCTGCAGAGTCTGTTGTTATTTCTCCTCTTTCATTTCCGATTTTGTTTATTTGAGCTTTCTCCCTTTTTTTCTTTGTAAGCCTGGCTAGGGTTTGTCAATTTTATTTATCTTCTCAAAGAACCAGCTCTTTGTTTCATTGATCCTTTCTACTGCCTTTTTTGTTTCAATAGCATTTATTTCTGCTCTGATTTTTATTATTTCTCTCTGTTGACTTTGGGCTTTGTTTGTTCTTCTTCTTCTAATTCAGTTAGGTGTAGTTTAAGATTGCTTATTTGGGATTTTTCTTGTTTGTTAAGAAGTGCCTGTATTGTGATGAATTTCCCTCTTAATATAGCTGTTGCTGTATCCCATATGAGTTGGTATGGTTTGTTATCATTTTCATTTGTCTACAGGTATTTTTTGATTTCTTCTTTAATTTCTTCAATGATCCATTGCTTGTTCAATAGCATATTGTTTAGTCTCCACATCTTTGTCCCTTTCTCAGCTTTTTTTCTTGTAATTAATTTCTAGCTTTATAGCATTATGATTGGAGAAGGTGCTTGTTATTATTTCAATTTTTTAAAATTTGTAGAGGCTTGCCTTGTTTCCCAACATATGGTCTATCCTTGAGAATGTTCCATGCACGCTTGAGAAGAATGTGTATTCTGCTGTTTTTTGGTGAAGTGTTCTATATATGTCTATTAAGTCCAATTGTTTTAGCTTTTCGTTTAGCTCCACTGTTTCTTTGTTGATTTTCTGTCTGGATGATCTATCCATTGATGTGAGTGGGGTGTTGAGGTCCCCTACTATTATTGTGTTGTTTTTGATATCTTCCTTTAAGTTTCTTAGTAGTTCCTTTATGAACTTTGGTGCTCCTGTGTTGGGTGCATAGATATTTATAAGCATTATTTCTTCTTGATGCAGTGTTCCTTTGATCATTATGTATTGGCCCTCTATGTCTCTCTTTACCTGCCTTATCTTGAAATCTGTTTTGTCTGATATACATATTGCGACATCTGCTTTCTTTTGTTTGCTATTAGCTTGGAGTATTTTCTTCCACCCTTTCACTCTGAGCCTGTGTTTGTCCTTGGAGCTGAGGTATGTTTCCTGGAGGCAGCAAATTGTTGGATCTTGTTCTTTAACCCATCTTGCCACTCTGTGTCTTTTTATTGGAGAGTTCTATCCGTTTACACTGAGGGTGATTATTGATGTATGAGGGCTTAATGCTGTCATTCTGTCACTCATTTTCCAGTTTTCCTGTGTTTCCTTTTTTTCTCGTCCTGTGTGTTTTAGCCTACCCATTGACTACTGCAATTTCTTGTGCTGGGTTTCTTAGCTTTTTCCTTATTTATGCTTTGTGTCTCTGTTCTGCTTTTTAGTTTAGTGGCTACCCTGCAGTTTGCATTCAGAATCTTGTGCAAAACATAGTCCATTTTCTGGTGGTCTCTTACTTACTTAGCCTAGACTGTTTCAGTCCCTTTCCTCCTCCTCTCCTAGATTATTATTTTCATCTCTTATTCCAACTTGTGTTGTGAGTTTGTGGTTAGAGTGATAATATTGTCTTTGCTTTGGTGATTTCCTTCCCTTTATCCTAATGCTATAGTTGAATATTTGCTATCCTATTCTGGTTCTATCTATTTGTCTCCCCACTCTGTGTTTTGTGATCCCTTTCTCCCTTTTTTTCTTTTTCCAGGTATGAGGGCCTTCTTGAGGATTTCTTGTAGTGGAGGTCTTGTGACTACAAAGTCCCTTAGCTTTTGTTTGTCTGGAAAAGATTTAATTTCTCCCTCATATCTGAAGGATATTTTTGCTGGATAGAGTATTCTTGGCTGAAGATTCTTATCCTTTAAATTTTGAATATGTCATTCCAATCTCTCCTAGCTTGTAAATTTTCTGTAGAGAAATCCACTGGAAGTCTGATAGGGGTTCCTTTGTAGGTTATTTTCTTCTGCCTTGCTGCCCTGAGTATTCTTTCTTTGTCATTCATTTTTGCCAGATTTACTACTATATGCCTTGCAGTAGGTCTTTTTACATTGACAAATCTAGGAGATCTGCAAGCTTCCTCCACACACGTTTCTCTCTCAATCCCTAGATTTGGGAAATTCTCTGCTATTATGTCGTTGAGCACACTTTGTGCTCCATTTTCCTTTTCATGCCCTCAGGAATACCGATGATTCTTAAGTTGCATTTTCTCATTGAGTCGGCTATTTCTCTGAGATTTTCTTCAGTTTTTTAAATTTTTAGATCTCTTTCTTCCTCTGTCTGGAGCCATTCAACCTGCCTATCTTCAATTATGCTAATTTGCTCTCTATGGTGTCTACACGGGCATTCAGGGAGTCCATATTCTGTTTTATCTGATCCATTGTATTTTTCATCTCTAGTATTTCTGATTGATTCTTCTTTATAGTTTCAATCTCTTTTGTGAAGTACCTCCAGAACTCGTTGATTTGTTTCTTTATATTTCCCTTCACCTCATTGAGTTTTTTGATGATAACTATTTTGAATTCATTGTCACTTAATTTACCTATTTCCAAGTCCTCAGGGCATACTTCTGTGTTTTTATTGTTTTCCTTCTGGTCTGGAGGTTTTATAAATTGCTGGATGGTAGAGGAGCGGTTTTTGCGCATAATGCTATTATTTGGTTGCAGTTATAGCCTGTTGCCGCTAGATGGGGGTTGAGAACCACGTGTTCTAAGCCCTCCACCTTCAGCTGTGATGGCCGGGGTGCAGCGCGGGTTGGGGAGGAGGGGCACTTTCTCTCCAGCGCAGACCTGGAGTCCGTTCAGTGCTCCCTCTCTGGTCTCCTGGGGCCCTGGCTTGCTGGGGTCCCCCCACGGAAAGCTTTCCCCCATTAGAGGGTTTCCACTGCACGGGCGGTTGGAGTCCTGGATGATCCATTGGACAGGTGAACCCTCCCCCGCTCCTTCCCTCACCCGCAGCAATCCCAGTCTCTAGGGGAGGGAGTGAAGTTCTCTCTTACCTGGTTCCAGCTCCTCCAAGGGCGGCTCCAGCCTCTTTGCCCTCTGTCATTTGGCTGCTGTGGGTCTCTGACGATCTCTGTGTTACTAGGATTTTTTTGGCTGGAATGAAGTTGCTCCTTTTGGTTGTAATTTGTAGGGGAGTGAGTTCTGGGTGAGCTCACTCCACCATGTCGCTGATGTCACTCTTCTTAATTTTCTGAGTTTTTTATAATGAACATATTTTTTATAATTAGAAAAAATGCATTCTTTTAAAAGAGTAGTATGCACCTGAAACTAACATAATATTGTATGTCAACTATACTTCAATTTAACATAAATAAATAAAGGATAGTCATATTTATTGGGAGACTGTAAGCAACATATGTGCCCCTTGGATATTTCATGCACTTCATTAAAAAACGTAGCCTGAGCTAGTTTTGGCTACTCTAAGAAAGAACGTACTTATGTTAAGTATATGTAGGGTATTAAAGGTCAATAGAAAACTTGAAAATATTCTATTCAACCAGTATTTTAAAACAAATTCTATTTAGAGGCTTAAAAAAAAATTAGGGGATCACATATCTTTGAACGTAGGTGTGTTAGAATAATTGCTTGACTTTGTATCTGGGAACTGCTAGTTGCTTCTGTACACCAAGTAAAACATTAACTTTTTAGTTTTTTCAACAAGAAGCAAAGCAGACTGCCAGCAGTTTTGAGAGCTTGTGAAAACAGCTTGCAAGGAAAATGAAGCTCCCTATTTTCATAGCAGATGCATTCACAGCAAGAGCATTTCGTGGGAATCCTGCTGCTGTTTGCCTCCTAGAAAATGTAAGTATTTGGTTTGGAAGTGCAGGGCCTGAAATTCTAGATTACTCTAGAACCAAGTATTTCTTTACACAAAAAACATCAGACCCACCTGTTTGTTAACCTCTTTGTGTACTTTGTTAACTGATACCAGCAATGTTCATGTCTGCAAGTTGATTTTGACCAAATTATACGACAAGAATGCTTAAGTCCAGAGAGATGAAGATTCATGTAAAGAAGAACTAGAACCAATAAAAAAAGAACTAGAGCTCCCTTTTAGCCATCTTGTTTTCATGTAGTTAGCACCACATGTGGAGGAGAATGAAATTAGATGAGTTTTATGTGACTGGTCATGGCTGATATTACATTTAGCATAAAAGATTCTAGCTGGATATCTTGAACTTTTCCTATTGTTCAGACAATTAGAAATTATTTTCAGGGCAAAGAAATGAGATATTTTGCAACGAATTAAGTAATTCAGTAGAAAGATAGAAGGAATTAAGCTCTAATATAGGAAGAACTTAGTTTACTGAAAGTCTCATTTTAAAAATGGCTTTTTGATTAGGATTAGTATTAACAGAATAATCAAATATTCCTTGACCTTAGGTGCTTTATGTTAGCACCTGGATTTTAGGAAACAAGACTTCCACTCAGAGCAGTTAGTGCAAGAGTTGATTATCTGAGAATCACTTCAGGAACACAGTAAGCAATTGATGATCTTAAATCAGTCTTATTAAGTTGGGCAAAGTATGTGTTGGGGCCTTTGAGTGCAGTGAATGTCAGGCTGGTCTGCACATTAAAATCCCCTGAGGTGGGGCCAGCCCTGGCTGAGTGGTTGAGTTTGCATGCTCTGCTTCGGAGGCCCAGGGTTTCGCAGGTTTGCATCCTGGGCGCGGACATGGCACCACTTGTCAGGCCATGCTGAGGTGATGTCCCACAAGGCAGAGCCAGAAGGACCTACAACTAGAATATACAACTATGTCCTGGGGGGCTTTGAGGAGAAGAAGAAGAAGAAAAAAAAGAAGATTGGCCACCGATGTTAGCTCAGGCGCCAATCTTAAAAAAAAAAAAAAAAAAGATTTTAATAATAAAATAAAATCACCTGAGGAGCTTAAAAAATTCCTACACCCAGGCTACATCCCAGAGCAATTACAGGAATCTCTAGGGGCGGGACCCAGGCAGCACTGGCCTTCTAAGCTCCACAAGTGATTCTAGTGTGCGGTCAAGATGGAGAACAGCTGAGGCTTTACTGAGGTAGGTGAATATCGTTAATTGACCCTCGGTGCTCATATTTTCTCCCTCAAGTGCAGCAGCAAAATGGTGATCAAGAGACCTCGCCTCACCTTAAGGATGCATTCATTACGCAACCTTGCAGCTGCCATTTTCCAACTACAAAATGCAGAAAGTAATAAAGTTAATAGACTTTATCAGGTAACACGAGAGCTTGGGAGGATTAGTGAGAGAACAAGTAACAACCAGATTCTAAATCTTGAAGTATCTTTAGAAACAATCTGGCAAACATAACTTCACGTCAAAAAATTGTGGAACTGACTAAAACTGCTGTCAAGTCTTAGTATATTTGCCCCATGTCCCCGTATAATATCCTTGAAAAGTTTTGAAAACAGTTTCAAGTGATTTATGTACTCAATTTTCACCAGGTGACAAGAATTAATTATTCCTAAACTTACTCCTTTTACCTCCAGTATACTCACTAAACACCAGACTTAAGAATATCTATCTATCTGTCTATCTCTATCTCTCCATTAAAATATATTTTGCATGTTATTTATATTTGGAAAAACTAGGAAATAAAAATTTAAGCAGAGAACTTAGCATTGTTCAAAGCAATATACTTCAGTATGAATAGAAGAAACAAAAAGAAGATGAGAAAGTCCGTGATTTGGGGACACTCTCTAAAGAGTCTCCCAGTTCAGTTCTTCCAGGCTTTGAGATCAGGCTAATTTGTGAGAGCAGGCTAATTTGATGGCCTGTCAGGGACAACTGAATAGATATCTACAGACTAGTTTGCTAGTTTTCTATTCTGTGGACATGTGAATCCTGTTCCCCTGGAGGCTAATTTAGCACTTCCCCCAATTTATAATCAATAAAAATTATAATGGAAGTATAAACTGTGGTTTCTACCCTTGGATTCTTTTACCCATGGCTGGAGACAGTGAGCGCCTGAAACAGCTAGAGAGAACACAAGTGAACTCAGGAAAATATTAAGAGACAAATAAGTGCTGAACCTCAATGCTGACCACAGTTCAGTAGGTGTTTATACCCTGTCATTAACATATTCTACAAATATTTATCAACACTACCATGAACCAGGCTCTGGGGTAGGGATGGGAGGTGCAAAGATTAGCAAGTTTGCCCACCCCGAGGTCCTCAAAGTCTAGCACAGGAAACAGACATGTAAACCTGATCATTATTCCATAGTCAAACCACAGAGTCTAAAAGACCTACAGGTGCCAGGTACAATGGGGACTCAGAGAATGGAACAATGTTGGACTTTATGGAGAAAATACTTCAGATTTTAAGTGCAGGGCTTCAAAGGAATAGTCTTGTTTGTTTTGTTTCATTTAAAATTATTTAGGGGGCCGGCCCAGTGGCGCAGTGGTTAAGTGCACATGTTCTGCTTCGAGGGCCCAGGGTCTGCTGGTTCAGATCCCGGGTGTGGACCTACACACCACTTGTCAAGCCATGCTGTGGCAGGCATCCCACATAAAAAGTAGAGGAAGATGGGCTTGGATGTTAGCTCAGGGCCAGTCTTCCTCAGCAAAAAAGAGGAGGATTGGCAGCAGATGTTAGCTCAGGGTTAATCTTTCTCAAAAAAATAAATAAATAAATAAAATTGTTTAAACTTTGACCAAGATGAGACTAACCACAGAAAAACTTGGAGGACAGACTAAAGACTAGGTAGTTGCACTTTGACCTTTTGAATACTTAATGAAAGACTGCTGGAAGGAAAGGAAAAAATTCTGGGTAACAACCTTCTAAGAGCTTCTATAATATTCTAAAGTTTTGCTTTGTCTTCTTTCTAGACAAGTCCATTTTAAAAATTTTCGCATGAGGAAATTATGACACCGTACATTAGGTACAAACAAAACAGATTAAGGGCTAAAGGAAATATGGAACAGATATTTGAAAAACATATTTAAAACCTTAAAAAATTGATAATGTCCTCAAATGCCTGACAATCAATTTGACAATAAAGATCATATAGAGACATGGAAAATGTATAGAAACAGTATAAAAAAAACAAAATTGATACATTGCAATGACAGCTGTGTAAAAACCTACAGGAACTCCTGACCAACTACTAGAATAGGTCGGAGGTCTGTGGTAGTGATAAGGGGTGGTACTTCACTTATTTTTCTATAAACCAGCTTTAATGTTTAGTGAAAATAACATATCAACAGGGGTAGAGAGCTCATATTTATCCTCCTTCATATTCTAACAAAGCCTCAAGTGTTTTTGACTTGTTGTTGCTGTTGTATGTGTGTGTGTATGTGTGTGTGTGTTTAGGGCTGGGTTTCTCAGCAGCGGCACTATTGACATTTTGGACCAGGTGGTTCTTTGTTGTGTGAGGCTGTCATGTGCTCTGTACAATGTTTGGCAGCATCCTTGGCCTATACCTACCAGATGACAGTAGTCCCCCTTTCTCTCCTGGTCATGACGATCAAAAATTGCCCCCAGTTGAGAACCATTGTTTCAGAGGATACCTTTTCTAAAAAGCAGTTTATTCTTGAGTTTTCCTGTTAAAATTATCCATAAAAAACAACTTTGTTATGTGTTCAGTGTATACATTTATCCCAATTCAACTGGCATTTACTGGCTGTCTACCATGTGCTGGATGGACACCGTGCTAGGATCAAATGTAATATTCATATATGTACAGTTTTATTCTTTTAAACACTAACAATCATTTCCAGTGACAGCAGGGAGGATTGGCTTCACAGTTTTAAAGAGGAATGCTTAGTTTTAGCTCCTAAACTGCTTTCTGTTCCAGTTTTCATGGTTAAATTTAGAGAATACCAAAAGCCCCTTTACAGCTTGGTGGGTTATGTATTTAAGGAAAGACGGGTGTATAGCAATACTGTAGTCAATCCATACTTTAACTCATGTGGGGAAGCTTGTGGTGCAGTGGCCATTTCCAGACTTGGTGCCTTCCCTTAGATAGAGGATCCCTGGCTAGAGGTGACCACATTGGGTCAGAGGCTCCTGGAGTTTCTAGGGAGTTTCAACCTCATATCTCCTTTTTATGTCCAGAAAAGGGATGAAGAGTGCAGAGAAGATTATTCTAGGGCTTTGAAGGGTTTTCCTTTGCCCAGTATTTGAAAGAAGAGCACAATGCAAAGGAAGAGGAAATGTTAATGTGGGCATTTCTACTTCCCAAGTATCCTCACTGGCTTCTGGAATGTAACCTCAGCTTTGGAAGCAATGACTTCAGGGAAGTTCATCCAGATACTGTGCTAGTTGCTTTTCATATGTTATCTCATTTCACCCTCACAACCACTGTATGAGTAGGTCTTATTATTATTATCCACATTTTTCAGATGAGAAAACAGAGGCAGAGGAAGGTTAAGTAATTTACCGAAGTGGCTGACTTCAGGATCCCACTCCAGTTCTGCCTGACAACAGGACCCATGCCTTTAACCCACCATGCTCACCACTAGATGAGATGTCCTCCTCTTTCATGTGCTCCCACAGCACTCCTTGCCTCCCAGTTGGCAGCATGCGTCACTCTTGTTGTAATTCATTCAATGCCCATCTTCCTCACTAAACTGCACATTCTATGAGATCTTGACCTGTTCTGACTTGTTCCAACACACATGGCTTAGCACATGGCAGGAACTAAATAGATATCTGTTAAGTGAAAGTGAAAATATTATAAGCAATTAAATTTTGGCAAAATCTCCTAAAAGTTCTGTTAATGAACAATTATTGATCTTTTGTTCTCGTTGGTGGGGTGTGGTGGGTGGGGTATGCAAAGTGAGTATGAACTTGGGGTTCTGTGATGGAGCTGGAGAGACGAGGCAACCAAAGGAACCATTGGGAACAACTGAAGATGACCTACTGCTTGAATGCTGCATTATGTGGACATAACATCACCAACAGGAAACCCAAATGCCTCAGAAGGAATCTTCCATTTCTTCTTGGATGATTTAGAACTTTCTATATCCAAGTGCTTTTCCTTTGCTGGAATCTATCTGTAGCAGGACTGTCGTGTTTAGGCTGTCATATTTCTAAACTGCCACAAGATGGGAGTATTTTAAAACTATACTGTCTGATTTTCTGATCATTAATTTTTTGTGGGTCATTTTGATGATGGAACCTTAGTGTCCCGATGCAGTACACTGGAACTCAGAAAAACAAACATGACTGATTTTGCTGTTGGAAATTTGACTCATGTGAGATTGCCAAAAGGAAATGGATATTAAAGCAAGAGAATAGCTATTGGTTTATAACTGTTATGTGCTGCATTTGAAAATAAGCTTGTAGTGTAAAAGGGAAAAATTATTGGAACCGAAATTGTATTTTGTCCCTCAGGCAAATAGCAGGTGCATTTTAAGTGTCCTGGGACAGAAATTACAGTTCCAGAAATTCAAATTGCAGTTGGTGCAATATAGCAAGGCAGAGAGGATTAAAGGGCTGATGGTCAGTGAAGTGTGTGTTTAGCTGATGTGCAAAAAAAGCCCATTTGCAAAGAAATCTATTTTTAGATAGATGGTGAGCTTGGCTACAATGTGAGATGCTTTAATACTTTTAGAGAGTCTTGTCGTAAGTGTCAAGGGAAGCAACAGACAAAGGAAGGAAGGAGAAGGATAGGGAGTTTGGATAGCTCAGACAGAGGAAGGACTGGCGGGCGCTGTGGGTTCCTGCAGCCAAGGAGGCAAATCCAGGAAGACCAGCACAGGCTTTTCTTTATCACCCCCTCAATCAGCATTGAGGCCTGTGATTGCAGACTCCGCACTAGAGAATTAAATGGCTCCCAGTTTCTCTCCGGTCTCGTATGCACGGGCATGTGGGCCAGTTTCCACAGAGAACATTCAACAGGCCATGGGAAGTGCTTGAGTTCAATTATTAACAACCTTGCTTTGTTGGCTGGGAGGCTGCCCTCCAACTCCTCCACTCAGGTGGGGCTTCTCACTGCCCAGGCCAACGGGGTGACAGGTGCTCATTCCCCTTCATTCCTACCATCTTAATTTTCCTTACCTTGGCTCACAGAAAACGAGTGTCAAAGATCTAACAGAAGAACAGTGTGAAGTCAAGTGACTTGCCCGAGAAGCTTCCCCAAGACAAAGCTCTTTGCCCACATTTTCCTGTTCAACTCACCAAAATCTGCCCTTTTCCAAGGCCACCTCAAGGGCTCATCTTGAAAGGCCTAGGCTATTTATTGTTAAAATCTGTGTATCTCAATGACGTACTCTCTAGTGTTGCTCACTGTTGCTTTCCGTGTCCGTCTTGACTCCCCACCAAGACGCTAAGCCCCTTTAACACAGGGCCATTTCTTATACACCAGAGCTTCTCAAACTTCAATGTGCAGAGGGATTGCCTGGTTAAAACAGAGATTCTGATTCAGAAGATCTGGGATGGGGCCTGAGACTCTGTATTTCTAACAAATTCTCTTGGTAGTGGTGCTGATGCTACTGGCCTAGGACAGCACTCAGTAATTGCTTGATTGCCGCTTTCCCTCAGAAACGTTGTAGGAGTCCATTTTATCTGATATCCTTGGTATTCCCGTCTCCAGCGTGTTAAAGGGACAATAACAGTTTGTCTTTGTTATGGGAAGGCAGCGTAGTATGGCAGGTTAAAGCGTGGGCTTTGAGCCACTCAAAATAAAAAGGTAACATTTATCAAGTACTTACTATGTGTTGGGCACTGAGATGAGCACTTTATGTGCATTATTGGATTTACTCTTCTGAAAGAAAAGCATCAAGCAAAAAACGAAACCATTGAGTTATGTTTAGGTTTTCAGAAAATAAGTATCAATTTCTTAAGTGCTTTCTCTTTCTATAGGACTACAGAGCTTCTATAGATTTTGAATACAGTGCGCCTTTAAGAAAAGCTTAGTAAGTCTCCTGCTAGGATTTTTATATCAGCTAATAGTTTAAAAATCATGGCTGATTTTTTACAATAACCACTGTTTTATGCCATATTATAAAAGTGTATTAAAAATGTTTCAAAAGAATTTGAATCAACAAAGACAAAGGGTGTTTAACTTACACAACTCAGGTAAGTGAACTATGAATTTATTAGTAGAAAGTTACAATTCTTATTTCTGGGTTTCAGGAGCTCAAGAATAGTAAGTTTGGCCAAAGCAAAAACGCATCTGTCTTCAGACTTCTTTAAAATTCAAAATCTAACTAGTGAGCATTTTGTTGAATAAAAAATTGATTTTCATTCTCAAAAGGAAAACTCATATTTCTGACCCATTTTTTTTCTTGAGTTAAGAGGAATGTGTGTATGTGCATATCTATGTACGTATGTGTCTTCACAATGACTCTTTGATTTAAGTACTATTATCCTGATTTTAAAGGTTGTGGAAACTGAGGCTCCATGAGATTAAATGACTTGCCCACTTTTGCATTGCTGCTAGGGGCTGACCCAGGATACAAACCCAAGTCTGTTTGTTTCCAAAGCCCACATTATTTTTTTAAAACATTTAATTTTTATTTATTTTTGTGAAGAAGATTGGCCCTGAGCTAACATCTGTTGCCAATCTTCCTCTTTTTGCTTGAGGAAGATTGTCGCTGAGCTAACATCTGTGCCAATCTTCCTCTATTTTATGTGGGATGCCACCACAGCATGGCTTGATGAGTGGTGCTAGGTCTGCACCTGGGATCAAAACTTCGAACCCTGGGCTGCCGAAGTTGAGCACACAAACTTAACCATTACACCATCAGGCGGGCCCTAAAACATTTTATTTTGAAAAATTAAAAACCTACAGGGAAGTTTCAGGAATGGTACAGGGAATATCCATGTACTTTCCTGTAGATTCACTGGTTGTTACTGTTTGCAAAGCCCACATTCTTAATCGCTCTACCACTTATTAGGCATATCGTGATCTTAGGATATTACACAACCTCTCTGTGTTTAATTTCTTCATCTGTAAGTGGATAAAAATATATTGAGGGTTTTTTAAATGAACATTAAGTGCACAATGTATTTATTCTTTCAGGAAATGTTTATTGAACTCCTACCATCCTGGGATGAATACAAGGCATTGTTCTAAGCCAGGACAAAGCAAGAGAGCACAGTTTGTGCCCTCATAGAGCTCAGAGTCAGAGGTGGGGGGGACAGACAGGAAAGGGACACATTAGGTAATTTCAGGTGGTCTAAGCACTAGGGAGGAGACAGCACTTTTGAACAGAACAGTCAGGAAGGCTTCCTGGAGGAAGTGACCTCTTGCTTGAGGCCTGACTCATGATAGGGAATGAACCATGCATAGACGGGGGCAGAGTGGTCACTACCCAGAGTGGTCACTACCCAAAGGTCTCTTTATCTAACAAGAAAGGGAGATTGTGGAGTTTAAACTTATAGAGATTGTTTTTAGAAGAGAGCATACGCTCTCTCATTATACTAGGTAGTGATCTGACAAAGGAAAGTCCAGGCCAGTAGGCTTTTCAGTCTGTTCTGTCTTTGTACATCTCTTCACAGGGTGCTGCAAACATGGATTTCCAAAAACAATCCTTATAAAAGTGCCTTCAGTTCCTTGGCAATTATTTCCTTTTACGCATGTAACTCTTAATGTAACTAAAATGTGTGATTAACTAACGGCAGCTGCTGTCTGAGGAAGTCTGATTTGCATTTCTGGGGTCTCAATAACCTTTTGTTTCTAATTTAGAAATTGGATGAAGACATGCATCAAAAAATTGCAACGGAAATGAACCTGTCTGAAACTGCTTTTATCCGAAAACTGCACCCAACTGACAACTTTACACAAAGTAAATATGCATTGTTTTAGCCGTTCTTGAATGGTAGCAGAAGCTGCTTTTCCAGAGAGGAAATGATATTTAAGGGAAATGCCCATTTCCTATTTGCGCGCAGATAAGAGAGAGATGGGGAGGTTCGGATTTGGTTTTCGGTTCGTCTGGGGGGTAGGTGTTGGTGAATTTGAACGTTCCGGCTCTCAATGTAGCGCCAAGGAGCCCTAGGATGCTTGTCTAGACGTCACTCCTTTCACAACGTGTTTCAGCCACTAGTCATGCGAGTGAAATATTCAGAAAAGAATAAGAAAAGTTTTTGCAGCCCCCTTGTCTGGGAATGATCTGGTTTCTGTTTGGTTTTTCCTCCTCTGAAGGTTCCCGCTTCGGATTAAGGTGGTTTACGCCGGCATGTGAGGTCCCTCTCTGTGGCCATGCTACCCTGGCTTCTGCAGCTGTGCTGTTTCACAAAATAAGTAATGTGATTTTCTTTTATGAACCTATCACTTAGCAAACATTGTTTTTTAATTCTCACACACTCTTTTGACTAGTATAAAGACATTGCAGATTTCATTTCACGCAATTCATTACGCAGAAACAAAAACAGCAACCTTCAATAACACTTTGGTCTTTCCGAGTTTGTGCCAAGCACGTTGGAAAGCCACGTTGTTGTTCCCTAGAATGATATTGTATTTAAATAGAAGCTCTCTAGTCTCTGTGACCAGCACAGGAGGGGAGCTCGCAAGGCACAATAGGCGTCTCACATGATGTGATTTTGGGGAACCAAAAGGCACACTTTGCCCCAAAATATGTCCCCATCCACAGTGAAATTTATTTCACAACTAGAGCTTTTTGACTCTGAATTTTAAAGATTCATGAGCCCTGACTATATTTACCTTGTGAAGAGAGGAGGCAGCACCTTACTCCTCCCGGTTTCCATCTTAGCTGCATTTAGTTTAATAAAGATCAGGCCTTTGTGGGAGTGAGGCAGAGGAGATGCCTGGAAATGCCCTAAAGTGGAGATGGAAGCAGCCATGAACAAGTGTAGGCAACAAACAGGAAATTAAACAAGGGAATGAACAGGATGATATGACAGAGGGTAGCTGTAGGGAGTGGGGAATTGGAAAAGGAAGTTTTTTGGGGAATTACTTAGATGGGGATAGTAAGGGAAGGTGTTATAGGGCAAGATCCTCCAGCAAGCAGACTCTGAGACACATTTGCATGCTGGAAGGACTGGGACAGTATTCTTGGGATCAATATTGGTAGAGGAGTAAAGAAAGCAGGATTGAACAGACAGAGAAATTGAACTGCAAAGTGGTAGCAACAAGGAAAGACCCTGGGCAAATCCACAGGGAGGTCTGAGGCTGCGAAGGTCCTTCAAGCAGTGTAGTTCCAAATAGAGGCAAAGGTTCAGGCCTTTGTGTGCTCCAAGGCCCATAAAAGCGGCCTGACTTTGGGTAAAGTAGCTCTGCTCAGCCAAGAGCAATTCCCAGAGCAGGACTCAGCTGAGAGCTGTCAATCACCAAGACTCCTGGCAGCTGGGTCAGGGCCGGGTGCAAGGTGAGACAATGAAGGCCTCAAGTTACACCTGGGAGCTGGTGCCTCCTCAAATTCTGTATCTCCCCGGTACTTCCTTGCCTCACATAGTCCTGGCCCTGAGACAGGATGGGATGAGATTCTGGCCAACAGCATCCATTAGAGAAGGGGACGTTTGGACTGAAGACTATGAAGCCTCTGTGCAAAGAGCCAGAGCGGGAGGCAGAGCATTCTGGGCAGAGGCAGCAGCACGTGCAAAGCATTTGCCAGAGATTCCTGGGCGAGGGGATGATTGGCAGGAGACAACACTTGAGAGTAAGGCCAAGGCCCCTCTACGATGTAGTCTATTATGTTTTCAAAAGATAATTTCGGTTTCTGTGGACAGGGGACAAGAACGAAAGCAAGCAAGCATCCTGAAATACTGTTTAGGAACTCAGTCTTGAAAAGTAGGTTTTACTGGTGTTGGATTGAGTGCCTTTTGAAAACCCCACATTGGCTGGTGTGAGGCTGAGGTTTGGAATGATAGCCCTCAGATCCCCCATCTTAAGGTTAGATGAGATAAAGTGTGAAAAAAGGCTTTGTAAATAATTATGTCTTACCGAATTATTAAAATTAAACTTTGGGTTTCAGAATGTAAATTTTATACTCAGTGAAAGCTAATAAGCAATACTGAATTTCCTCAACTTTGAAATATGGTTAAGTTTTACAGAAATATTAGCGAGGAGAAAAGAATTTGGTCACAAATCTCTGTTTCCATTAAAAATGTTACGAACACTGGAGTCAGATAAGTGGCCCAAGTTATATCAGTAACATGGAGGCATATTATATCAGCATTTGTGGTCCAATCTTTAAATCACAATTTTATGTATAGCTTGGCTTATTAAGAATAAATCTGATTTGTTCATATCAGACTTGTTCATAACTTGTATGTTCTATTTGTCATTCCCTTGGCATATCTTAGACTAATAGAGTTATTGTAAGTGGATGTTTTAAAATCTGCATTAGAAAACATTATAGCATCCCTAAGAGGTTTAATTACTACCCCCATTTTATTGGTAAAGTGAAATTAGTATAGGTTTCATTATTACCCCATTTTATTTGTGAGGAAATTGAGGCTTAAGGAGGTTAAATAGTTTGCACAAGGATACAGTTAGTGAGCAGTAAGGAGCTGGGATTTGAAGCCTTGCAGTATGATGTCAAATCTCATCAGTTAGGTTCTTGGTTCTCAAGTTAGAATCCAGTGAGTTTTCCCCACTCTGGACCCCAGCAACCCACACCTGGGCCCCATCCCAGGAAAGGACAGTGCTGCCAGAGTCTCAGGCAACACAACAGTGATTGAAACAGACGTGCGGATGTATAACGAAGTTTATTGTTCTATTTCTTGATTCCTTGTCAAAGAGTTTTCTAATTGACAAAACAAGACACTTTTATCTTGGCCAGAAAACGTGAATAGTACTCTAACCTTTGTCACTCTGAGTGGGGAACTAAGGGCCAAAAGAGAAGAGGATGGGATCGTCCTGGACTTTCCTCTTTATCCAGCCCACCCCCAGGTGAGCTCTTTCTAATTGTTGCCAGAAACTGTGCACAACTGACAGCTTGCGTGTTTTACAGTGGTTTTGTCTTTTTTCCCCATCCAGGACTTCCATGAAGTGGAGGACTTGATAAAGGTTAGTGAAAAGAATCAAACCTGAGATGGTGTGACATAGTCATTAGTTACTGTTTGAATACAAAGATTCGGTACCATTTGATCCCAAAAGATAGACTTTCTCCCAGTATAAATGTTCCAGTCTAAGCTTAGATGAATAGTTCGTGGTGGATTTGAGGTTTGAATTTTACTACAGAATCTATTTGGTGAGAAGGTTGACCAGTTTTCCCTAACTCTTCATTGTCAGCATTAGCCTCCACGGTAGGTTGGGAGGAGAGATGGCTGTGTGGCGGGCTGGATTGAAAGAAAAGAATGGAAACTGCCTAGCAGCTGCTGGTGTCCCCAGTTTCTGTGATGAAGGATGGGGCTGAGGTGAGGTGGGAGGGCTGTGCTTTGATGAAGGAGACCAGGAAATCATGAGGACCTGGACGGAGAAAGCAACATACATAGCCTGGCCTCCTCAAGGAGTCTGTGTGGGAGTGGGGCTTAATAGTAATAATAATAATAACTAATAATAGAGAATATTTTTGAGAATATGCCCTGTGCAATACCACATGCTAAGTGTTTCACATGTATTATCTCATTTAATTCTCACTGTCACCTAATGAAGTAGCACTACGATTGTCCCATGGAGATTCCAGAGGACCAGAGCAGCTCTGGACAACCAGGTGCTTAGTTTGTAGAAATGGAAGAGCCCCAGTCAGAACTAGGGCAAGGGTTTCTATGAGAAAAAACGATTCCAGGGGGCTGGCCCAGTGGGGTAGTGGTTAAGTTAATGCACTCTGCTTCAGTGGCCCAGGGTTTGCAGTCTTGGATCCCAGGCACAAACCTACTCATCGCTCATGAAGCCATGCTGTGGTGGCGTCCCACAAACAAAATAAAGGAAGATTGGCACAGATGTTAGCTCAGGGACAATCTTCCTCACCAAAAAACAAAAACAAAAACAAGACAAAAAACAAAAAATGATTCCATGAAATGGCCTATTGTGGGTGCCACTGGGGTGTTTCTCTCAGTAAATTTTCAACTATAGCATTTATACTCTCTTTAGTGTCTTGCTTTGTCTAAGTTTTCAAAGAGTATAAGCAAGCATCATGGATTCCGATTTAACCCTCAGCTCCACCTGTGGCTTGGGTTTTGGGAGGCCAGCCAAACTCATAAATGGTATGCTTTAAGCATGTTGCCAAGAAAATGGAAAATATTCATAGTGGTAGACTTTGTTCATGGTAGACAGGACTTAACCTATCTCTCTAAGCCTCAGGGTCAGCATTTGTACAGTGGGGATGATAAAGGGTTATTTATCATGAGAATTGTCATTTGGTGTTCCTAGAATCTGGCAGTAAGATTCCCAGCTGAGAATTAAACTTTCAAATCGACATAAAAATCCATGCAGAGAAGGGCTGCATGACCCTTCAGAGAGACTGAAAGGCCCCAGAGAGCAGAGGAGATCTGGCTGCAGGAGTTCCCATTTCTAGGGGGAGGGGCATTGGTCAGCCATGGTCACAGAGGCAGAGAGCCCAGGCACCACCCAAGGCAGAAGGAGTCTCAGCCTTGGGACCTGGAGCATCTCAGTCCCTAGGGAGGGCTAGAAATCCTGAAGCTGCCTAATGTCCAGACAACTACCATGCAACTGTCATCTGCTCTGGTGGCAGCTGGTGGTGGTGCCAAAGGATGACTTGAGGGGCTTTTGTCCCCTCATAATCTCCCTAAGTACCCCAGGCAAATAAACAGTGTTCTTGGATATGAACAAGATTATGTGCAGTCTTCGGTAAAGGGTGCATCAAGATATCTTTAGAAAATGTTGCTATGTTATTGACCTGTAGCATACAATCTCAGTGAAAACAGTGGGCTTACCAACAGAGCAGCATTAAGATGAGTCCTCTAGTCCCTACTTCCATTAAAACTGCTAGACCTGAGGACTTGCCATGTAGAATGTTCTAGTTACTGCTGCAGAAACTCCACCTATATTATTTCATTTAATCCTCACAACGACTCTAAGAGGTGGGCATGAGGCCGCCCATCTCTAAAGACAGAAGACAGTAGTGATCCAGAGCTTTGACTCCAGGGCCCCTCAGACCTGAGTAAGCTCAACTCCCTTAAAGACCTCTGGTCACCAAGAAACTGGCCTTCCTTGGGCAACACCTTGAGTCCCAAAACTGAACTAAAACTCTTGGGATTGGAGATGATGGATGCGCCTGGCACAAAGCAGATGCACATGAGAGGTCATTCCCCACACAGGGAATCAAGGACTTGACCCAGGGGGCACTCCTGAGGGGTGTTTGGTCTGTCTTCACAGACTGCAATAGGTGACACACTGATCCAGGACATCTGCTATTCTCCAGACACCCGAAAGCTCCTTGTCCGGCTCAGTGATACTTACAACAGGTAAACAAACACAAGTATACTTTGGGGAGAGCCGTGCACCCCGATTTACAGCTCTTGCTTGGTCTGGCTGTGCCACGTCTGGTCAAACCATGATTTATGCAGCCAGAGAGTTTTATTCCCAGGTAGGAAGATATTCCACTTGCTCTTTCCTCCCCCTCTGCTGAGCTGCTTGGGCAAGCTGCACCCTGGCCTGCTCCGCAGTCTGTGTGGTGGGAGGTCTGTGGAATGGGTTTGCAATAATAATTCATCCCATTTATGAACAAGGTCATTTCTGGAGAACCTGAAGGTGAACACACAGAATCTGCTGCAAGTGGAAAACACAGGGAAGGTGAAAGGACTCATTCTCACCCTTAAAGGAGACCCTGATGGGCAGGCCCAAGCGTTTGATTTTTACTCCAGATATTTTGCGCCGTGGCTTGGCGTGGCGGAAGACCCCGTAACAGGTACTTTTTGAGCTGGGTCCTGGGGAAGGTTAAACAATGGAGGAAGAAGGTAACAAACAGCTGTTTAGGTGCCCTTCACATGACCTTTTCAGGCTGCTTGGGTTTTGAGCTGCCTTTGTTTCCCTCTCTCCCCCTCCCCCTGCCTTCACTGAAGTCTCATATGGAAAGCATAGAATAAAGGAGGCAGTGTAGCAGGGTTAGACCCTCATGTCAGACAGCCTGGGTTTGCATCCTAGCTTCCGAGCTATTGACCTTGGGCAAACGACGTAACTTTTTAAAGTTTCAGTTCTCTCTTCTATAAAACATGGATAATACCTCTTAGGGTTATGTAAACACAATGCATGTTACATGCTTAGCACAGTGCCTGGCACATGGTAAGTGCCCAATAAGCATTAGCTATTTTAATAATAATGACAACACTGGCTCACTAGCCAACACTTCCAGATCTGCCATTTGCAAAATTCACGGGCTGATGTCCACTACATTTCCAAAGCCTATTGTTCTTTTCAGTGACCAGCCTGTGTGGTCATTGACATCTAGGCAAGATTTAGTTTTTGAAGGATAAACTCCTGGGCTGCAGGTGGGAAATAGGGGCAGGAATAGCGTTTATTTTCCTCCCCTCCTCCTTTCCCGGACCTGCCCCCAAAGTGGATGGGATGGGTTTGGAGTCACGGGTGTTTGAGATTTTCTACCAGTCAGAAGCAGAGGGATGAAATCAAAGATGGGCAAGAATGTGAAGCCTCCCACTGACATCCTCTTTGAGAAGAGTAGGCTGAGCAGCAAGAGCGGGGAATGCCTGTTGGAGGAGGCTGGTGGAGGGGATGGTAGCCAGGGCAGAAGCAGGCTGGGCAGAGACTTCGAGGCTCCCATTCTGGTCAGATGGCAAGGGCCAGGATGGTTTCAGGACCTTGACTTAGTTACTCTCTGAGGAACAAAACGTGAAATTCAAAACTCAGCAAGTAAGCACTTTTAAAGACTCAGGAAAATGCCCAACGACATCTAAACAGTCTGACTCAACCCTCCCCCATGGAAGAGAATTTCTGAGCAGATTTACACATGCACAACTGCTAAATGAGGATTTTAATTGGCACAGAAGGCAAGTTGTTTTCCCTGTAAAAATGCTTTTCTGGAGTGGGAAGGTCTTTGGACAGTGATGACCAACCATCTCTGTTTGCTTGAGACTGAGGGATTTCTCAGCATACAGGACCTTCAGCGCTAAAACCAGGACAGTCTCCGGCAAACTGGGATGGCTGGTCACCCTACGGGGACCTCCCATGACATTTAGTAAGTTTTCCTGGAGGGGCCTTTTCCTCTGCGTCCTTTTCTCCCACAAAGATTTTTCTGTCAGCTGTTCCTTTACACTTTGTTTCTTCATTTTAATATCTATCCTTTGATCTAAAACTAGGGCACAATCAGGTGAAAAAATACTTCACTAAAAAGAAAGTTCTTTTGGCACCAAAAGCCTGGGAATGTTGGCTTGGTGGAAAATTTGGCCTTTTGTCAGAGTTCACACCTTTCCTTGCATGCGTATCCTCGGAGGAAGGAGATATTTTCCCTTGAAAGATGTACAAAGATTTACGTGAAGGCCTTAATTTTTCCTCCCGTGGGCTGATAATGAACTTGTAGACAGGACAAGGATTAAAAGCTGCAGTGTCATCCAGTCTTCAGAAAGTGTAGGACGTAGGGAATACGTCAATTGCAGGAGCTGATCCAGAAATTCGATGTCTTCCTTTCTATCTCCATTTGTAATTCCACACTTTGCTGTGACCATGGCCAACATAATGACTAAATCATCGAAGATTTAGTTAAACTGGATAGTTGATTGTAATTACTTATAAATTTACCGCAGTTGCCCCTGTTTTCTTCAGGATTGTATCATAACTTTTCACTTCTTTTAAGGGTCTGCACATACCGTTCTCAGCAGCTACTGGTCCCAGCAACTGGGGAAGAAAAACATGCATGGTAGGACAGCTCTTTTTCAATTTTTTTTTTTAATTTGCCAAACTTTAAGCTAGTATTCCTTCTCATACGTGCCATCCACTTGAAGATGTAATAAATGTTATGTATCACCTGTGTGAAAATGAAAGGTTTTTAAATTCCTTCACCCTGAACCCTCTACTCAAAAACATTCTCCACCCCAAACATCTCCCACCTCCGTCCCTCCCAACACACAGACATCCTTCTAATGCAGTAAGTGCCCAATAAGTGTTTGTTGAATAAAATTAACCAACTGTATAACTTGGCCCAGAGTGGTTATTTATAATGTGACAAGTTGAGATTGGATGACCATCTGGGTTCCTTACTGCCATTGCTAGTCATGGCATTGAATCAAACAAGTTGCTTTTGAACTAAGTCCCCTAGTGATAAATGTATTGCTCAGGGGCAGAGAAAATAGATGGCACCCATGGAGACTACACAGCCCCAGTAACCGAAGTAGGAGTCCGGCCCTAAAGGATGGGGATCTTCCTTGGTGGGAGGGTTAGGCCTTTGTGACCCCGATTTGGGGAGAGCAGGGTGGCTGTTCTCTCCTTGTTGAGCTGAGTTACTCCCCCCAGCACTGAGCTCCAGGAAGGCTGAGGCTGTGCCTCGTTTGCCTGACACGTGTGGTTGCTCGATAACCACAATGAGTGAACTTTGTCCTAGTCAGACCTAGGAAGATGGGACCTTCTCAGTAGGGCCAAGACCACCCCTCTTTATCTTCTTAGACTTCTAGTTCATGCCTCTGTCTTTCCGCATGTCCTCGCTTACTCCTAGACAGAGCCGGGAGGAAGCTATGGGTGAGGTGTGGCTGGGGCATTACACAAAGTGATAGAGGAAATGGCTCAGGAAGGGAAGATGTGGAGCTGTGTGTTTTGTGGATCAAACTGCGTTTGTGGCTTCTCATCCTCAGGAGAAGAGGGTGGCCTGGGCGGGACTATGGACAGATGACAGCATTTATTCTTTAAACTGACCTGGGAGGAATCTAGAGCTTGTAATAAGAGGTCTCTCACTATGTTCTGTTAATTAAAAAGGGTGAAAACAATCTTAATTTGTGACTCGTTTTGCTTTCTTTAGCCTGTCAGTGCTCCTGCCGAGGAGGAGAACTGGAGATTTCTCTGCATCCTGACGGAAGAGTTGACATTAGGGGAAGCGTTGCTATCGTGTTAGAGGGCACGCTGACAGCCTAAGGTGGTAGTGCTGCGGTGCTGCTATCTTGAATGACTAAGTATTTTCTGCATGAAAACAAATGTAAGGGGCTGCCTTTAGCAAATCTGCACAGTAGTCCACTTAATCCTCATGTTAGAAAAATGAAGACATATCAATGGAGATTTAATAATACTTCCTGATTAATTAACTAATGGAGTTTTGGGTCTACCTGTGAATGCATTTGAAATGTAAGTAACCAGGGGCCACCCCGTGGCCAAGTGGTTAGGTTTGCGTGCTCTGCATCGGCGGCCCAGTGTTTTGCCAGTTCGGATCCTGGGCGCAGACATGGCAACACTCATCAGGCCATGCTGAGGTGGCGTCCCACATGCCACAACTAGAAGGACCTGCAACTAAGATATACAACTATGTGCCGGGGGGATTTGGGGAGATAAAGCAGAAAAAAAAAAAGATTGGCAACAGTTTGTTAGCTCAGGTGCCAATCTTAAAAAAAAAAGAAAGAAAGAAAAGAAATGTAAGTAACTGGAAACAAGGAATAATGTTGTCACCTTTGATTATAACTACCAATCACAGAACAAGGAACAAATTCATGAGGGGTAAGATCAAACCATTTAAACTTAGGTGTAAAATAGAATATTTTGCAGCTATTAAAAAGACCCAATAACTATGCAGAAATATAGAAAAAGATTTCATGATATACTACTAAGAAGGAAAATGAGAGTAGACTGTAAATTGTTGGCAATGTTATGCTATGTCTATGGAGAATATGAATTTATATGGACAAGGATGGGTCATGAAGATAGAAAAGTAAAAGCTGTTCATATGTGGGGGGAAAGACTGGGAGTAATTTTAATGTGTCTAAAAAATTATTTCCTTTATCAGAACATACTCGTGTTCAATACTAAAAATCATGACATTTAACTAAGTAAATAAAACGCCAGAAATTTGAAAAAATGTGTGTGTATGAGTGTGGTAGTAAAATTAAACACTAAAAGTAAAGTAATGTCTTTATCTTGATAGATAGCTTTAGAGTGATAACTTAAAAGGGATTCTGCTCTTACCTCAATAAAATGGGTTTTAACATAACTTTAAATTCGGTTAAATCTACAATATTGAATACCTATAATGGACTTTGGGATGGGGACTTTTTCAAGTCGTTAAGAGTGTTTGTTTAAGGTGATCTCATTGCTGGCAGTTCTCAGCCATCTCAAAAACTGCAAACTCATCAGTTAGAAATTCCTTTGGTGGCCCCATTTTTTTCATCTTAATCCTATCATGTTTTCCATTTTTATTTATTTTTGCTGAGGCACGTGAGAGTGAGTTTATTATAGCAGTAATCTTGTGTTGCCCCTAATTTGCAATGAAATAAATAATTCATTAGCTTCAGTGCTTTAACTTAGTAAGTTACCCGTGACTTGCCACACACCTCACAGCACATCACAACTCATCAGTGAGTCATGACACTGCAGGGTTTTCACAAAGTGCAGGTTTTCCCAACATGGGACTAAATTGTATGAATAATTTTACATAAATGCATAGCTGAAAGGGTATGAATTTTATCTCTCAAATGTATGCTAGGGCCTAGTGGCATAGTGGTTAAGTTCGAGTGCTCTGCTTTGGTGGCCCAGGGTTCGCCACTTCAGATCCTGGGCATGGACCTACATACCGCTCATCAAGCCGTGCTGTGGTGGAATCCCACACAGAAGAACTAGAAGGACTTACAACTAGGATATACAGTTATGTACTGGGGCTTTAGGGAGATTAAAAAAAGAGGAAGATTGGCAACAGATGTTAGCTCAGGGCCAATCTTCCTCACCTAAAAAACAAAAACAAAACTATGCTAAATTCCTGAGATGACCCTGAATTCTTTTTTGCAGGAAAGTTGCTATTTGAAGCATCTGAATTGACTTTTCATCCTACATTTTCAAACCCTACATTCACTTTTGTAAGTGATTTTTAAAAAATTGTCCATTTAGCTATGGACAGTTCAGTCAGAATAGTCAGGGAAACTGATTATATTTACCGTGTTTACTCGGTCAGCCTGCTGGAAATTGACTGAGTGGCCATACTGGCTGTAGTGTCCCAAAAGTGGCAGCCCGGGAAGCTGGGAGGTGGAAGAGGGTGGGAGGAGAAGCACACGGACTAGATAAACCAGAGGAAATGAAATGATGTCTTTGGGTCACAGGAGCAAAGAGCCTCTAAAATTAGTGTAGGGGAGGGAGAAGTATTCCTCTGCCCTCTAGGTCCTTCTGGATGTCTAAGAATTAAATTGACATGAGATAGAATAACAGGAGATAATCAAAGTTTAACAACATGTGTACATGGGAGAAACCCAGGAAGACTGAGTAACTTCCTAAAGCCACCACCTTAAATACCATCTTCAGCTAAAGACAAGGAGGATGTTGGAGGTTGTGGTTTGGGACTTCAAAGGGAAGAGAGGCAATTTACATGGAGATGGAAATGCAAATGTTTGGTAAACAAATGTTGACATGCTTTGTAAGGACAATGAGAGATGGAGAGGACTTTGCTCAAATGGCCCTTGCTAGGTTCCTCCCTGTCTACCACACGTAGTTCATATAATATTATAGTTATCTCTCGGTATTAGCTCCTTTCTGGAACAGGCCTTCTATCTTAAATTCTTTTAGGCTGTTAGGGGGGAAGGTCAAAGTTTCTTTCTGAGTCTTTTGTTCTTAAAAATTATGAAGCCAAAGAGACGCATTTTGGGCTGGCAAATTCTGATCCCCCCGTTAGCACAGAGTGAGTTTTCTGTTGATGTGAGTAGGATCAGTTTGAGGGCACTTTAAAAACCTAGTTCCTGCTAGGTTTTCCCCTCCTCTTCTGCTTCTGCTCATCTCTTGCCTACCTGATCTTACTGAGAGTAGGTGCAGAGGAATGTGGAGGGAGACTGTTGGAGATGAATCCCAGGACTTAAGCGTAATCTTGCTGTTGACTGAAAAAGTGCTCCCAGGAAGTCAGCACTCCCTGGCATATTGAGTTAGACTGGGTTATGCTGATGTAGGAAATATCTACAAAAGCACAGCAGCTTATTATAGCAAACTTTTATTTGTGCTCATATTACCTGTCTAGTGAAGGTGAGGAGGGGCTCTGTTCCTTACGGTCTTACAGGGACCCAGGCTGATTTTGCATTCTGCCATCTCGACATGTGGCCTCCATGGTTGCTGCAGCAGGAGGAAAGAGTGTATGGAAACCTCACTCTGTTTTGGCCAGAAGTGATAGGTGTCAATTCTGCTCACAGCCTGTTGGCCAGAACTGGTCACATACCCCCATCTAATAGAAGGGGAGCTGACAAATGTGGGGAGCTCATGGATATATTCTGTGTACAGTAAATATAGCTGCCACACCTGGGGAAGATTTCAGGTCACTCAGATGGCTCTCCCTACGTTCTCCCTAGGGTGCATTACTTGGGTAAATTATCGCAGTCCAGGGGCTCAGGTGTGCAGGCTAGAAGCCTATTATGTAAATGCACCAACAATGAATCTATCAGATGCAGATTCACATCAACCTAGCATATAGAGACTGATATATAAGGCCAGAATACCAACTTTTTAATTTTACAATGAGAAATGTAACCATGGAATGGATAACATCAGAGCATTTTCTCCCCACTTGCATATCTGTTTTGGAAGCCAAAGTATAATCAGAAAGCTATTGGTGACTATGGAGCTGAAACAAGGAGAATCAGCAAAGTGGACCTAACTGGCAGATGTCATCAAGACATGATGAGCTTCCCTACTTTAACAATGCATTAGAATCCCATCATACTGTATTTAGTTTACTTGAATTTAACTACACATTCAGAGCAGAGCCAAATGTGATTTTAATGTTTAAATATATTTACTTTTGGAACAACCATAGTCTCTAATTCAAGCCAACAACTTCATCTAGCACTCAGCAAAACAGTGATGTTTTCCAGCACTGGAGAATAACTGGCAGTGTCAGGCTTATGAAATAGTATATCTGTCTACTAGGCTTTATAGGTTATATATGGGATTTTCAAAGGTAATTTTGACAACACTCAACTTTTGCCTTATGCCGTATGGTAACCTGCCTCCAAGATGGCTCTCAATGATTCTGCCTTCTGCTATTCACACTCTTGTCCTATCCCCTCCCACATTGCACCAGGGTTGGTCTGTGTGACCAACAGAATATTCAGAAGTGATGGTGTGACTTCTGAGATTAGATTATAAAAGACTGCATCTTCTGTTTTGGTCGGTTTCTCTCTCTCTCTCTGTCTCTTGTCACTTGCTGTCTGGGAAGCCAGCTACCCGGCGTGAGCAGCCTTAAGGAGAGGCCCATGGAGCAAGGAACTGAGGCCTCTGACGTTGGTGGCATCAAGGCACAGGAATGAGCTTGGAAGTGGATTCTCTAGTCCCAGTCAGGCCTCAGATGCCTGCTGGTCTGCTGACACCTTGACTGCAGCCTCGTGAGACCCTTACCCAGAGGTACCCAGCTAAGCTGTGCCAGATTCCTGACCCACAGAAACTGAGATAATACATGTGTGTTGTTTTAAGCCACTAAGCGGTGAGGTAATTAGTTTTGCAGCAATCGGTAACTAATACACATGCTGTTTATCTTTTTATTTTTAATTTTATTATGAAAATGTCAAACATATACAAATGGATATCATGAGATCCATGAACGTGTCACCCAGGTTTAACAATTTTTAACTCGTGACCACTTGTACCTCTGCCCACTTCCCTCTTCCCTGGATTATTTGGAAGCAAATCCCAGACAGACATAACTTACTTTCATTTCAGTATTTAGCTCTAAAATATAAGAGCTTTTAAAAAAAGTAACCTCAATACCAGCATCACATCCTTGGTAGACAGACTCCCAAGGTAGCCCCGGATTCCTGCCTCCTCATGTTCATGCCCTTGTGTAACTCGCTTCTAACCAATAAAATATGAGAAAGATGATGGGATGTATGTAGTTGTGTGTAAGTGGTTACATGATTATGTTACATATGCTTGTGGCACCAGTCTTCTGGAGTCTCTTTCTCCTTTGCTGGCTTTGAGGAAGCAAGGTACCACGTTGGGGAACTCTAAAAAGAGCTGTGGGTGGCCTTTACAAGTTGAGGGCAGCCTCTAGCTGACAGCCAGCATGAAAATGAGGCCCTCAGTCCTTCAACAGCAAGGAACTGAATTCTGTCCACAACCTGAGTGAAGCAGATCCT